CCCTCTCGGCGGAGCAGGTCGCGGCTGTGGTTAATCATCGCAATCACTCGGGAAATACGCCGCTGCACTGGGCTGCGCTAAACACGCACCTGGAGTGTGTGAAGGCGCTTGTGGAGGCCGGTGCGGATATCGCTGTTAAGAATGATGCGGGGCTGGATGCGATTTTCCTGGCGGAGAGGACCGCGTGGTCGACTGAGGAGGAGGGTAAGGAGGCGCCTGCCGAGGAGGAAGGGGCTGGGGAGATGTCCAAGGGTCGGCAGGTTGTGGAGTGGTTGTTGAGTTCGGATAAGGCTGGTGATCTTGAGGGAGGGCTCAGCGTTAGTGCTGGTGTTGGTGCTGAGGAGTCAGGGTCAGGGTCAGGGTCTGGGGAGGCGATGGACGTTGATGAGAAGAAATGATTACGATCATCCTGGCTTTGTGTGCTTCCGAGTAAATAATTATTTTGTTACGAATACCATTAGACAAAAGTTCTGAGTTGACACCTTAACGAAGATAGGTTCATTCCCATGCATCTAGATTTAGTTCGTATGTTCAGCGTCGCTGGTCTATCTATATTGACATGTAAACATGAAATGTACTATTAGTCGCTTCGAGCCTTGCCTTTCACACGGGTGGCAGATACCCGCGAAGCTGGACTGGAGTAGGAACCTTCCATCTGCACGCCCTTTCCATCTCTGATTTCCCGGACCTTCATATTAAGTCCAACCCGGAATCGTCGGTCACGCCATTGAACAGTGACTCCCCCGTAGAAGGCCCAAATCCAGATGGGCAGAGCGAGCATCTCTCGGCCCAGCCATGCCGCAAACCAGTGGGAGAACGGCCGCCTCGTCCTTCGGCGTGCGGGAGGCTGTGCAAAGTAGGGCGTGTCGTCGTTTAGCTCGACAGTCTTCGCGGAATGTAACTTGATGTACAATGTCCAGTCGACCAATATCCAGGCAGCGATGCTCAGGGAAAAGACTGTGAAGAACGCAGTCCACGAAGTCATGTGGCCTGCGAACCCCAATCCTTTGCGCTGCAGGAATTGAGCAAGAGAGGTGGTGACACCCCATGCCCCGTACAGAGAACATAGGATCGATTCCGTGCCTGGCTCAACTAGAGTCGCAAGAAGGACGGTGAACTTGCGTACGCGCAGCCACCGGACCCGACGTGCCATATAGCCCCGGACACTCATGCTCGCCACAGGCTGGATGGCAAGGTCTCCAAAGACCATGCCATGTTTGCCCCAGCTTTCGCCCAATTCCTTCTCTTCGCGTATCTGCTTTTTCCAAAGCAGATCGCCAATCAAATGGTCCTCACAGATATTGTCAGAGAAATAATCAATACCGGGACGGCGTGGCTGCAGGTCTGTCGGGGATGGTTTCGTCAAATAGTCCAAATGAGACCGGCGAAACATGTTGGATTTCCCAACAATGCACGGCGCAATGAGGACCGTGTTGATGGCAGTATACATCTTCGCATGCGAGGACGCCAGAAACAACTCCTCTAACCGACCGCCTCCTGTCGCAAGCCAGCCAACTTCTCGGTGCTGTTGTTCAATCATGGCAAAAGCGTCGCGCCTCTCGGAAGCAGAATCGCCTTGGGGGCACGCTTGAAGAAGGGCCTGCCGCTCCTCCCTCAAACCGCTAGTCCCCGTCACATCCACCGCAATGGGCAAGTGGTGCACAAACTTGTACTTCCTGCCCGGGGTGTCCCCAAACCCACATAGTCTGTCCACCATCCGCCCACAAACTCCCCGTCCCACCCACACGTTGCAGTCCAGGATCCATACGATATCACCCTTCGCCTCTCGGTAGGCACGGCTCATATTGCGAATCTTCGGATTCGGCCCCAGATTGTAGTTGGCTGCATTGTTAGGCTGTAGTAACGGATCCTCTTCTTCGATGTAGATGTGCGCGTCGGCGTGCGGGAAATCTGACAGAAGTTTCTGCAGGGTTGGATACGCGGGATCTGCTCGGGACGAGACGCAAAAGTAGACGGTCAGTTTGTCACGGGGATAGTCTTGATAGAAAGTCGCAGCCAGGCAGTCGTAGAGATATGGCTCAAGGCCTTTGATGGGCCGAATCGCGGTGACGTGAGGGGCGTTGGAGGACGAGGCTGCATGGGATTTCCGAGGTCTGCGCGAAAAGTGCATCCATCTGTTCCCACGTACCACACATTAGTTCAGGTCTCAGGAGGTAATTGATAAACAAATACATTTGAAAGTATCCCAGCAGACACACGGCGAACACGATCGTATACCAGATCAAGCACACCCAACCCACTGCAGTCGACCACGCGAGTTCGCCATGTCCGACGGCCAATCCGACATTCAAGCGGCTCAAATGCGATTGAAGCTCTAGCATGGGCAAAGACGACGACAGAGAGACGACAGAGCGGGGACGCAGAGGTTCAGAGAGGACATTCTACTGGAGACGGGCGGTGGAGAAATTCGACAGAAGCGAAAGTGGTCATTGCCGGAAGCACTAGGATGGCATCGATCGTGCTCATCGTCTGATTGACAACAGTACCGCCAAGCTATAGGATTACATCGTCATGGTCCCATGGGAGAGACATGTTTGCATAGTCGTGTCACTAATCTGGACTAATTGGGTCAATATTCCACTCGGATGCACTATGACTAGACAGCGGAGAAGACACTTGGAAAACAAACGCACCAGCTCATAGCCCCAATTCAGGCAGCGAAATAATCACATTGTCTTAGAGCATAAGCTGAATGATTACTTCACAGGTCTATTCAGAAAAGAAAAGGCGGGTTGTTTGCATTATTTTACCTTTATTCGTTTGCAATAGAACTCTAGACTCAAAATCGATACAGATGGAGATTTAACACCTTCAGTAATAACCAAGTCCTGCCAAGTATGAATCCCATACGCTGCTCTAAATGACACCAAAGCAACCAATACCTTCCCGAACCATGTAGCTGTCGCCCCAGCTCGAGATAAAAAGATACGCCAAACTCCGAGATCGCCATTCCATGCAGAGCGCAGTGTTGCGGACCTATGTCTTCTTCTTCTTTCGAACCAGGTTGGCATTGAGCACGTTCACGCTGGGTGCCTGATTCGGCTGGACGGGAGTTGCGCTGGCCGCTTCAGAATCCCCTGGAGCACCTCCTACTTCCCCTGGCTTGTCGCTCTTCTCATCCGCCGTTTTGCGCTTTCGAACAAAGACTGTGCTAATGACAGTTGCAGCGTCCGTAGGTTTCTGACTTAACTCCGTCGTAGCATTTCTCCCCTCAACCCTTTGACCGACCCAAAGCTGATCAGCGAGCGAGGCGACTTTCTCGGCCCATGCCTTGGTGCTGGCGATAGCTTTATGTTTGGTGTCAAAGTCTTGGTCGATAAGGAAGTTAATTGCCGCCTTGTAGTCTTCCTCACTCAGGACCGCGTGTCCTCGGCCTGTGTCTGGCCAAAAGAACGCACTGGGGCCCGTAGCTTGCTGTACTGTAGCATGGGTGTCGGAAGATGAGGCACTGGTTTGGGTGATTGATGATGTTTGGAGATCACTTGTGGGAGGTTGCGATGGAGCAGACGCAGACGAAGACGCAGACGCTACTTCATCCTTTTGTTTGGTCGCATCGTGAGTTGTCTCTGCAGATTTAGAAACAACATTCTCGACATCCCGAGAAGCAACACGAGAGCTCGTCATCTGGACCGAATTGACAAGACCTGGCGGATTAATGACAAGCCATAAGAACCCAACTAAACGGCCTGCTGAACATTCCTGTCGAAACGACATCATCTCCCAGAACTGTGCAAGAGACTTTACGCTTCGCCAATGACCAGAGTTCTCCTTGGAGCCTTCAGCTCCCGTCGACTCTGGTAATTCATCGTCCAAGTCGATCAGAAAGCGTGTCTTGGGGTCATCTGGGAAGCGAGGAACGAGACACCGTGGCGGAGCGTTGGGATTATCACAGAGCTGATGGAGAGGGTAGCTATTTAACCATCTGGGCCGGTCCTTGTCATCAGACCTCGCTGTTATTGGGAAGAAGCCCCGGGTCTCGAACTTGTCGCATCCTGGAACGATCAGAAACGCTGTTGCTGAACTCTTCGCCGACTCCTTAGTTTGATCATGCAGTGCCTTTTCATGAGAACCTGTCTCAGGCTCATATTCTCGCAGAATAGGATCAATGACACGACACCACCATTTGATCAACCGGCGATCATCCAAGACATGCTTTTCAGGGTTCTCGATGCTCCCAGGAAACAAGTACTGATTCTGGGCCCGGGCAAACAACGACACCATCAACCGGACACCTGGCCGTTGACGGGTCTGCACAAGAAATGATAGAAATGCATTCGAGATAAGTCTGAGCAGTGAGACCTTGGGCGCATTCTTCAGCAGATGCAGGTAGCCAGTTGAATCGGCCTTGGAGACGAAAATGGTTGTCAGATGCGCGGTGCCGTACACCAGCACTTCGATCCCAAAGACGATCACTTCCGACTCCTCATTTTCATCGGGACTAATGGAGACTGCGAGGAAATGATTCTCGCAAAAGGTCGACTCGGGTTCTTCGCCTGGTGGAGCTGCGAAGAGAGCCGCACAAGGGCTCGGGGCCGATGAGATATGGCGGATCGTCACCTTTACCCCCGTGGGGAGCACCTTGGCCAAGAAATCTCCCAGTTCGACATCAACTTTCGACATTTGAGCCGTCAGAAGCTCTTATTAGGTTGAGGTATTTCAAAGAGTAGAGATAGCCGAGTGTGCTCAATCAAAGCGTCAGACGCGTTCCAACACACGGGCGCGTCACGTGGCTTTTCTCTTGGACCTCTGGCTGGCAAAGGAAGAATGTGTGAATTCTACAAACGACGTGGTGTCTCCGAATCATATTGTATTAAGTGTTTATTATTACCGTGTAATGGTTAATTCCAATTAGTGCATCTTTGGAAGGCTCACTCTATTCATGACAAAACAATGATCGGTGAGCAAAATGCAATTACGCCAAATGCAGCCAGACATAAATGGTGGTGGAGTTATTGACAGTTTAAAGCTCATGATAATGTTCAGAAATAACTGGCCGCAGCCTCGAGGTCATCGGCATTCAGGAGCGCAACACCCTCCTTAAGCAGAGCTCTCCAGACCGCATTACGGGTCCTGATGGGATAGCTGGGCGTCTCCCAGTATCTGGCTCCAATGCCCCTTTCCTTTGCGGTCGCGATTTGCGAGCGCAGAGTGCTGAGCTGCTTCTCTGTCAATATCGCTTCAGAATCACCCTCCGAAACCGGGCCGATGGCATCCGCAAAGCTTGTAGACGCGATGGGAGAGATCAGGTCTGTGATACCGGCATTCTCGGGCTCGTTCAAGGACTCGAGGTGAGCATCAAAAAAGTAGTCCCGGTTTGCGACAGGCGCAACCATATCATAGGGCGTGTTGCCTGTGCCGATCACGGTAATGGGCCCGTTGGTGATGGTCTTGTTGTTCTTCAGAGCTGTCAAATAACCATGTTCACGCAGTGGTTCCAAGGCATCAATCACAGCCTTGAAGGTCTCATGCCCATTGGTCTTTGCATCAATGAACAAGTAAAGCGTTTGGGACACTGAAGTATCGAACACGCCACTGATCAAGAATATCAGTTCTGTGTACGCCAGACGCAATGAGCTAGCTTACTTGTGGGTGGGAGACGTCACAAAACGCGATCGAGGATTCTGGCGTTTGAGAACATCGAGGATTGGATTAATGTACAATGATTCCAGGGTTCTCTCTTCTGTTAGAGAAGACGTATCATGACCGACCCGCTCGATGTTAGAAGGAAGACATCTATCACTTGATGACTTTGTACTTACATAGAGTGTACCGTTGTACAGCCAGACATCTGCTTCCGTTGAGATGCATCCTTGTGAGAGAGCTTGAAAGGGGTCAGACAAAAGCCATGCATACAATGTGAGGTGATCGAAATGCTGCTTTACCAGTGTAGAAAGGTACATCTCTCCAGTAGTCGCTGCCCAGAGAATTAGAACCATTCTTAAAGATTGATCAAATCACGTCTTGACTTACTTGTGAGAATGAACTGGAATCTTATGCCAAAGTAAATCACATCCCAATCAGCTCAATTCATCCAACAAGTGCATGGAGACAATGACTGAGAACTCACAGGTACAATGCCCCTGGTAAAATCTGTAGGATATCCGTACTCTTGACTTCTATGGGTATTATCGAGGACGTTCTGAAGGCCTGTCGGAAGCCCAAATACGATATTCGGCAATGAGAGGATGACGGCGGATGCCGTGACAAGCAGCGAGCGTGGTAGTACAGTCATTTTCCTTTGCGAGCACCAGGGAAATATACTTTGTCGGATGAGAGTTCTAAGACAGGAACAATCTCTACGAGGCTAGAACGCGATTATATTTCAACATGGGATGTGATGATCGAGAAGATCCCCCCCCAATGCCAAGTTTCGATGCCGAGCGAGGCAGGGCTTGGAGCCAATCCCTGTCTCACGTGGAGTACAATCTCACCACAGCCATGTTCATCAGCCAACACAGGTACAATGCGGAAGCAGAGGGGTTTTATCTTAAATAAAATGTAAGACAAATTCCCCTACCTGGACATGAGTTCTCGTTCACGCCATCAGATGAGACCAGTTAATTGGCTAACCGTCGTAGAACAATCATGGATTAACCATGGTTGATAAACTATACAGCAGCCAGCATGACTGACAATCTACAATTTCCAGAGCGCCAGATGATCCGAATGTGAAGCTTTGAAAGCCTATGCGTCTGAAAATAACATCACATATCACGAACACTGCCAGCTGCTTGGGAGAAGGAAATAACTAAAGGGCCCAGACGCTCTATACTTCTCGAACAGATGGTGGTCTTGAGCCGCTCTGGGAGTCCTGTGTACTACTGCGCCTGAGACTCAAATTCCCGATGCGCTGCACCAAGTTGCTTCCAACAGCGTCGACTGCGCCTTTCGGAGCGAGCAAACTTGGACCTTGCGCGGCCGCCTCCTGGACCCTGAAGAGTTTGATTCCTGTTCCGTTCCACACGCCAACAGTGCCGGGCGTAGCTCCAGATGCTGTGCCAACTACCATCTCACTGGAGAAGATGAAACCCCAAAGCAAAGACTCATACCAACCCAAGGACAGGGCTGACCATTCAAAAGAATGTACCCGTACAGGCGAAGGCTCTGATAGTAGCCCTTGAATTGTGGGCTCTTCTGCAAAGGAGGGAAGATTCGCAATTAAAGTGCGAGCTTCCGGGCTCGATGCGGCCTGGAAAGCCGAATCCGGGATGTGGGGAGCAATGGCCGAAATGATAGTGAGGATAGTGTGAAGAGGAAGCTCTGGTAGCCATGACTCCAACTAAACGCGGGATTGTTAGAACAATAGACATAAACTACACGCACATCGTCGAGAGACACTTACCCAAGCAACAGTCGGCGTAAAACCGCTGGAAGTGGAGAACATGGCGGACATGCTACTTTGACTGGTGATGCTGTTCTGCCGGGAGAACGATGGCTGCCCAGCAGGCATCTTACCTCTGGCTTTCTCAGACATTCCCCGCAGTTGTAGAGGGACACTTTCATCGATAGCTGATGATGTCGACGGCCTTCTTGAGTTTTGCGCGGAGGGAGAAGACTGCGACGGCGTGTCTTGCCCGTCATGTTGGTCATCCGATTCGTCACCGCCAATAGCGAAAGGGCTATTCTCTTCGGGAATACGGGTCAAAGGCGAGCGTGTTCCTGACGACACATGAGGATCCTCTTCAGCCTGCGACAGGGTAGGGCTAGAGGAAGAGTCGCGAGATGCAGCTTCAGCTTTCCTCCTTTCATTTTGCCGTTCAATCTCTTGCTGTCCACTTTCGAGAGTGAAGGCTCGGACAGCTTCAAAACGTTTCCTGTATTTTAGAATAGCGTATACTAGGAACGGGTTTTCTGCGATAGTCAGTCAGCGAGCCAAGCCGCTACGAAAGTGAAGACATAGCGACACTTACTGGTGAATTTGTGTTCAAGTATCGAGTTTATGGATTCAAGCACTGAGGCTAGGAGGACATGGTTCGTTTCGTTAGCTAGGAGGAAACTGGGAGCGGACATCGAGGAGAAGAGCTGCAGAAGCCTGGAGCATGTGGCTGGTGAGAGATGTTCTAGGTAAGGAGCCACGTTGTTGATGATCGCTAAGAGTGCTGGATAGACAGCATTCAGCTTGCCTTTGCTTGCGGTAAGCAGAGTATGGATGGACTAAACCACATTTAGTACGGTTTCGCATGACGAATTCGGCGAAAGACAGACCATAACCAGGTAGTCACCATAGGTACCCTTGAAGCCCGGAATACGAATGTTCTGAGGTAACGTCTCCTGAGCCTCAAATTTCATGTTGAGACTTTTTCCAAAATTCCGTTCGACACTCATAGTCTGTAAAATAAAGATGCACATTCTCACAACGCCTTGCTTGGATGCGTCAGATTTGTATTCGATAGCGTAAAAGATACAGAGAATGGCAAAGTCATGGGAGCGACTTGAGTCAATGATGAATGACCTGAATCGCTTGTTGCACTGAAGGGCCTCCCAGAACAAAATGAGCATTTCTGGAGCCCATTTGATAGACTTCTGGCTGCCGGGAAGGTAAGAATTCGTGACTTGCATCTGCCACTTCATCAGAACTAAGCACATCCGATTGGGGAATGCAGACCCACAGGTTGGTTCAGGATTCTGGTCATGCCATCGACAAGGAATTGAAAGTCTTGCGGTCGGTGCAGCCGACCGAAGTAATGGCGATAATAGTTCTTCGGCGGTGTCCCACGACCGTCCTCTGGGATAGGATATAGGAGGAGAACAAGAAGAAATTGTAGACAGTATATAACCAAGATCTGCTTGGAGTCTTTCCAGACCACATGGTCATATGGAACCCTCCATGACGCAGGATTGTACTTGATAGACTGCGTGAGACCGTGGTTAGTAGGAGGCAAAAGTCAAAACCATACAGCACTGTACATACAGTATTTAGCAATGAGCACAGCAATGTGAGGACAACTTGCTTGTCAGGGCAGGTTGCAATGTAGGTAATGGCCTTAACACCCTGAACAGGTAGGAGACCTGCAGCGTCGTCAGCGTTGCGTCCCATATCGAGGACAAAGAATCTTACTGAGCGGCATGTACATTGCCTTTCCAGTCAATGTAAGCAATAGTCGCAAAATCTCGCACCGGTTGCTTTCGAGCTCTTTGCTGGAGCCCATCGAAGTATTGCAGCCGACACCACTTTGCCATATCGAGTATGATATCTTACCCTTAGCCGTTGGGAGCTTTGGGATCGTAAAGTCCGTATAGAATAAAAGATCCAACAGGTTGTCAATCAATTCCTCGGCCAAGGGCTTCACATCTTCGTATTCATTAGTCCCAGGCAACGTCTCCTCCTGGCGTCCTTCAGCCTGCGCTTCATCAAATAGGACTTCTGCCCCCGGTCGAGCTCCTCTAGTATTCTTCTTCCGTCGACCCCAAAAGAATTTCTCCTCCCATTCTTCTAGGTGCTCAGCCTCGTAGATGAAGGGAAGGATGCGCGTGAGTATGCGGATACAGTTGAGAAGGTCTCTCTCGGGAGCGAGGTCGGGATCTGGAAAAGACGGATGATTCTTCAGAAAGGTAAGACGAGAGGTTATTGAAAGCAATAGTGTCTCCAAATTAGGTACTGCATGGTCGCGCGTCCGTCGTATATCTGCGGGGGTGAATAAGCTGAATACATCTTCTGTCGACTCTGGGAGCTCCCAGAACTACACCGAAGCAGTTAGCGAGTAGATGGCCACGAGAGATCAGATGAGATCTCATGACAAGAGAGACAAACTCTGGACCAGTAAGGATCATCAGCAGGAATGTCCTTCTCCTCCGACAGACGGAAGATTCCCTGCTTGAAGACCAACTTCGACTCCGAGGCTCCCATAGCGAAGCGACACCGGCGCGGGTTGATGGTATTATAACTTCATAGGGTGTTCAGGGGAAAAGAAGAAGAATCAATATACAGAATGCAAGCGCTTTCACGGACGTCCTTCTGATATATATCGCTAAATGGAAGTGCAAAGTGTGCAAGCTGATTGTATGTTGGTGTTGTGGTTCGCTGGTCCCGTCACAGCGGGAAGTTACCTCTTGGACCAACGGAGACGGAGCTCGGCCATGACGGAGTTTGAGCAAAGAGCCACAATTAAGAGTTTAAATCAATCCGCCGACCACGCTACCTGAGTTTATTATATGTTTTGTTGAAGGAACAGAGCAATTTAAGTACGATCAATCCCTATGCAATTTGTGAAATTAACGCTCAATCTAATAAACTCGATGTACACGATCCCTTCCATTCGTAATTGCGCCGACGCCGATCAGCCCGAATTATAGACTCCCGTTACTCGCAGAGAGCCGCCTACTTCTTTCATACAACCATTTGTTGCTCAACCCCAGGTTCGCGCGCTTGCCCCCTACAGGCGAAGGACTCGCCGGCCCTATGCTAGACTCCCCGAAAAGCGAGCTGCGACTGAATGTCGAAGAAGACCCGAAGCTTGGCCGTCGCCCGCTCTCTTTGCCGCCATTCGAAACGGCTTTGTACAGTAGCGGGCTTGTCGATGGCGAAAATGATGCGCCCGACGAAAGTCTACGTCCTGAAAGACCAGCACTACCGGATAGGGGCGACGATGCACCTTTGCTCGCTGGAGTCGCTGTTCTCGAGGCGGACAGTCGATACCTCGGTGGTGTAATGTACGTAGTCCCCGGTGTAAGCGGTGGAGTCGCGGACGGATCGAGTCCGAGGAGAGAACGTTGTGTAGGAGTGAGAGGGATATCGGAGAGGTCATCTTTCGGTCGGAACAAAGGGTATAATGCAACCAGGATGTTCAACGCAAGAATGAGCTGTACGACGTGCAGCGCGAGGTCCGGATAAGCGGGGTACTGGCCCAAGTTCTGTAGACGAAGCGAACTGCGGGATCTTGGTCAGAAAGATCGAACTGCAATTATCCTCGAACCAACATGGCTATCGCTCACTATGATTTAACCGTGTTTCCGAATACCCAGGTCGCAAGCAAGGTGGCCCCATTCCAAACAAGCTTTCGAATATTGCGATCTCCGAATGTTCCAGCATTCTGTCGCCTTACAACTTCATTGAGACGAGGATGGCGCCATTTTCCAGGCGTCCGTGAGGCATCGGGGACAGGGGCAAGCACCGATACGGCCCTGGGTGTAGATGGAGCGGATTGGGACGCCATTGATATTTGCCAGAAAACAGATAGAAATGCCGGCTAGCTGAAGTCAGAAAACAAGGATTATGATCGCCAGGACTACTACAAGGGACTCACCTTGAAGAAAAAAGAGATCAGTGTGTGCGTTAAAACTTACCTTTGAATCAACCCAGCGATTTGGACTTGATTCATGTGTACATTTGCGTGTTGTCGTGCAGGCGTCTCAAAGGTCGACCTGAACCATCACTGCCAATATGGCAACAGGTGATTGCGACTTAAGATGCGCTGGTCGGAAGTGTGTGAGTATTGTTTTGACGCGACACTCCATAAGAATAGCAAGAATGGCCGCTTAGTGGTCACAGGCAACAGACGCCGGTGCCGCGAAGTTTTCAGCTAACCTCCGTAGCTAGACGCGGCTCTCGGTCCGTTCCCCACATCTTGAACACCTCCATAACCATAACTGAATCCCCCTCACGTCATTTCGTTCATCTATCTCCGAATGGGACTACGACGTCTCGAAACCAATCTCCAAGTAAATTTGTAGCTCTTGGTTTGATAGACCAGTCTCTGAATTCAAGGACTTCACATAATGGCCTCGGAATCGTCAGCCTTGGCGAGACTGGATGCCTTGGCCACTGATATTCTGGCTGACTGGGATATTTACACAACTTTGATCGCAGGCGCTCTTATTGCCCTCACCGTGTACTCTTTTGTTACATCGAAAGATGCCGACATTCATCCTTTCTTACTTGCTCGTCAGTCGACAGCTTTCCCCGTACGTCAACCCGGAGAATCAGCGGCGTATAGAAGCCTAGAGACTCCGCACGGATACCCACTCAGATCCGGACTCAACATCAAGGACCCTGGTGCACCAAGATGGACGGGTGGAAGAAGAGGTGACCTCCGTGATATCTGGAAGGTTGCTGTGCGTGGTGCAGTGTCAGAGAATGGTGTAGTCTCTGGGAAACAAGGAAAGATCTACACGGTGCTTGGAAAGAAAGCCGTCGAGCATTCTTTGGACCAAGTCACACAGGAAATCAATGTCATCGGCCATCGTCTGCAGGAATCTGGCGTCAAATCGGTTGCTGTGTGTTTGACAGATTCTGTTGAGCTCCTGGCTTCCATTTTCGGTTCGGGCCCTTCGCTTCTTATTCCAAGTATGCATCGAGCTGACTTGATGACACCTAGCTGGTGCCTTCTATGGCTTCAAGACTATTATTATCCCTCACAACCTCGAACCTCAAGTCCTCTCTGCCCACCTGGAAAAGTCGCAGGCAGATGCTTTAATTGCCGAGGCCGGTGCACTGGACTTGTCCCTGGTGGCCAAGAACAACAAGCAACTCTCTCAGGTCATTTGGGTCGCTAAGATTGGAAGCCAGCACATGGACTGGAATCAAGTGCCTGGAGATGTTCAAGGAAGCTTGGAGGTAGCCGTATGGCATGAGTTGGTTGAGGAAAAGAAGGACCTGACCGGCTTAGACGTTCCCAGTTGGGACCCCGACACTCCTGCGCCGTCTGTGACCACTGTATGGCCGACCAAGTCTCAAGTGGGCGATTTCATCGAATTCCAGCCAGAGGTTAGTTTTCTCGACTGAGCTTTTTCCCTTACAATCACCGCTAACTCCCACCAGAATCTTGCAGCCGGAATCGCGGGATTGACATTCTCCTTGCCTCGGAATCAGCGGTTCAACCCCGACGACCTGGTCCTTTCGATCGACTCTCTCTCGCGTTCATACCCACTGTGCCAAATCATGAGTGCACTTTTCTCGAACTCTTCTATCGCTCTCAACTCTGTTGCTGGCGAGGGCGTTGATTTTGCCTTGGCTACTGTTGGAGTGTCACCTACCGTCATTGTTGCTTCTTCCCGCACCATGTCCGAGTATCATGCCAGACACATGGAACCCCAAGCCGGCGTCCTGACGTCGATCGTCCGCTGGTCTCAGCTGCGCAAACTGGATGCCGGAATCATGCCTTCTCGTGGCCTACTAAGTCAGGTTGCTAGTATCGCACCGACCGCTGAACTCTCCCTCGAAAGGCTCCGCCTGTTATGCGTCTCCCATCGGGCTGATGCCGACCCGGCTGCGCGCCTGACATCAGCTCAATTGGCAGACCTTAAAATCTTCCTAGGTGCTCGCGTTGTGTACGCTCTGACTGGCGCGGGCGTGGCAGGTGCTGTCTCCCAGACCAACGTCTTTGATTACCGACGCTTCACGGGACCGAGCCATTTTGGCGCCCCCTTAAGCTCTGTTGAGCTTCTTTTGACTGGCGTGTCTGATGAAAACCCACTCGAAGGACAGGTGGGTGCCATCCAATTTTTTTTTTTTTTTTTTTTTTTTTTTTTTTTTTTT